GGGGGCAGCAGGCCTCCGGCAGCCGGCACCGAGATTTCCTTCGAAAGAGCAGTAAAAATCCGCCCGAGTCTACAATTCGCCACCCGAAATACGCCCTCCCTCCCTCCCCCACCCCTCTCAGTTATTTAATATAAAATGTATTTTTAAACACCCGCTCGGATAGCATCTCGCCAATATTTATATTTCCACGTTGCCTGGCATCCACTGTCCCACATTAGACTCTGCCTCTCTCTCCCTCTCTCTAATCCTGCCACTTTAAATAGATGAATTAATAAAGCAAATGAGGGTCTAATAAGCTGACTGTCCTGCCTATTGAGGCAGGGGGAGAGAGACTAGAAAGTGCGCCAAATTTGTTTGCAGTGGATCAAGGCTAGCCGCCTTTGCTTCACTTTCTTTATCTTAATTCCGACTTGAAAAGATATAATTATCTAGTTTGAACAGAGCTGCTATCAAATCCTTCTCTAGGCAAGGCAGGGGAGAGCTGGAGTGGATTGCAGTGTTCTGAGCCGCTTGGTGCAGCCGGAGATAGGGAGTAATGAAGTTGTGGAGTCCTGAGATACAAAGGGCATTAACCTCATTAGCATGAAACCTTTTCTTCTAACCATTGTGGGACCCTTTCAGACTCCTAATCCCCCCTATTTTCAAAGCTTGGTTTGTAATAAAGCTTTTAGGGTTTTTTTTCAAAGCTAATGGCATTCTCTGAAGATTTTATTGCTGTTACGCTACATAGGACGCTTAATTTTTTTTCCCTCTCTCCCTCTCTTCCCTCACGTTTGTTTTTTTTTTTTTTTAAAAAAAAAAAAGAAAAAAAAAGGAACGGAAAAAAGTATATGGTTCCTGCAGAAATAAGCCTTTTATCAAGATGGGAAACAATTTCTAGAAAGGCCCAAGTCTGCCGTTCAGCCGCGATCCGTTTAATGTTTGTCCATTTGCATGGGTTTGAAGTGGAGCGCAAGCCAACTTGGGCGAGTTAAGGTGAAATGTGCGCCCCGCTTGGTTTCAAGATCTGCACCATCAGCTGTTCCAGGGAGGGGGACACGCAACGAGAAGTTTACCTTGGGAATAGCTCTACTAAATAATTAGCCTAGGTTTTAATGGAAGGGACTGCATTGCGACATGCGTCCTAACCCTGCCTGGGCCTCTCTCATATTTGTAGCACTAGTGAATGGAAAGTCACCGGGACTGTATAAGGAGCGATGTTAAAAAAAAAAAAAAATCGGATTTTTTTTAAAAAAATAAAAATTTACATAGTACCCGATAGAGCCAACACGTGCACAGAATGTCTAATCTTAACTTTTCAAGGCAGGATGTTTAACAAAGCTCGTATTTTCGCGATGCATTGTAACTTCGCCTTATCACAGTGTAAAGGGTAGTCAGATTGTCCTAAATTATGTCCAACTAGCCCCCCTGGATCCACGGATTAAGAGATTAAAGGAGACCACTGGGCAATGCCTCCTCTTTCCCCTTCATATTCCTGGTATGATAATTGCCTAAACTGATTTGCACTTTCACAAAAGCTTGCAGGATTCTTTGTAGCTCGAACAGAGCAGACGAGGTTTCTCTATCAATGGAAATAAAACTGATTAATGCAGTCTATCAGGCTAAGGAGCAAATGAAGCATGAAAAAACAACTGTGTACCCCCAGAAAACCAGCTAGTTTCCTCAAGGACCCAGAGCAACTTTTTTTTTTTTTTTTTTTTGGCC